TCTCATAAACACTTTAAATGGCTTAATATGAAACACAACAAGAGCATAGTAATGCAAAGTAAAGAAACCAAAATAATGCACTCATAATTACATAACAGTCTAAATGATGCTAAAACCATTAGGTATGGACCAAGGAAACACCTTTATTGCTGTTTATTCTCAATTACATACTGACAGATTATTGAAAAATTCCTTTCTCTAGATATAAGCCCCTGTGTGACAGAAACCAAACATGTTTTCTAGAATCTCTTATTGTCTTGACATCACTGACAAGCTCATACATGCCTTTTAAACTAGAATGAGGGCAAATGAGATGTTTTGTAAACAGCTGAATTTGCAGTTGAGTAATGAACTATTTGATTACATAATTGACAGCATATAGGCCGATCTGATGTGAAAGCATCTGGACTTATTCAATCATTACCAAAAATCATCATTGTTTTTCTGTAAGTTTTAAATTGTTTTAGATATCCTTTTTATGAAAGGCAGAACACATGCTTATGGTTAGTAACCTCTCACAAAGGTAACGGTCCGGGAGAGGCTTAGCGTCATTACGATAATTGGCTTTGAATAACCATTTTTAGCAGCCCTTCGCTTGAATAGCTTTTCATCGTGAGCATGCTGACAGGTCACAGTACATATGATGTACAGCATCAGGAAAACAGTGTGACATACACGTTTGAATAATCACAATAACATAGAACGAACATCTAGTAATTTAGAGTAGGCTACTTCATTTTATTTAATTGTAGATTTCACTGTAAATGATAAGAACTGAACACGATTTTAAAAATTATAATAATTGTTAAACAGCTTAAGGTCAGACAAAGTAGCCATTCCTCCTGGTCTAGTATGTGAAGCATCATCGAGCATGTTGAGAAACTTTTTTTTTTTTTTATTGAACAATATCAATTTACAAACTCAGATGGGGAACAATAAAATGCATTATGACAAAATATAGTTTTCCATACATATCCGTTTCCAAACAGTAAATATACAAATCCACTTCAAACATATACTTCTACTGCTACCAGCATTTAAAACCACAAAGTTTCTAACTCAAGCTCTTACCTGAGGTTCCTGCTCTTGGCCAGCATGTGGTGTATCTCTGAGTGATTCCCTCCAGGCGCCTGAGTTTCATGTTCCCCCATTTGTTCAACTTTGCGGCACTCTACTCTCAGAACAGGAAACCAGTTCAACCACTTTCAACTAAAACAGCAAGAATGCAGATAGTCCATGTGCATACTAGAAAGAAAGATGTATGACAGCTCCCAAACTATCCTCCACTGGTGACGGAACATCCTCCAAATCCACCCAAGGCTCCCCGCCGAATCATTATCCGCATTAGTGTCTTAAAAGCTGTTGGAATTACAGGCATGTAGGAGGAACTTCACTGACAGCCAGCCATTCAAATGCATTACATCTGAAACTATTTATTTGCTCTGCCATTACCTGTTTACTGAGATGAGATAACCTCCAAATGTAGCCATATTCAAGTGGGTAACCCCATATTGGTTCATATATCACACAGAGCACATACATTTAATTAATATGTTTTACAAATTCACATGAATTTTTCCTGAAAGAGAATCATACATAACTGTAAAACTGGCCTAAAATGAAACAGCATGTCAAAATATGAAGAACAGAAACACTTCTACACTGAACCCAGACTTATAACCATAAAGGACTAACTGACCTAGATTAACATTAAGTAATCCAGAGATTAGCACTAATCAGGATACGTGACCAGCTAGTGTTTATTTTGGTGGTACAAATACATGTTTCTCTTGGCTTTTTAACTTGCAAATCAGTTTAAATACACTTTAAATTGTTTAAATATCAAAAAGGGCATAGGTTGGGGTCTCTATCCTGGTCCAGGAGAGCTACTGTCCTACAGAGTTCAACTCCAGTCCTAACCAAACACACCAGAACCAGCTAATCAAGGTGTTCAGGGTTACCTGAAAATTACAAGCAGGTGTATTGGAGCAAGATTGGAATTGAAGTCTGCAGGAAGCAGAAGAGAGAAGGGAGCAGGGTTGGAGACCTCTGGCAAAAAATAAATAGACACTGTGCCTATTAATATAAATGGACCATTTCTGTACATACCTTAAAGACTTGACTAGAAAAAAAAGCTGTTGCATTTCCATGAAGGTTGAAGAAAAAAAAAAGATGCAGTACAATAAGCAAATTGACATTTGATGCCAAGCTATATGGGGTAAGCTGTCACAATGTAACCTGCCATTAAATAGTCTATTAATGGCTCTTCAGCAATATTTTACAGTAAAACAATTAGTAACAAATATACATAGCGAATATTGTTATTCTTAAATTGTACAAGATTACAAAATGTCATTGAAATTTTACTTTGAAAGACATAATTATTACTAATATTATTCTAATTTAATGTTCTTTAACTAGTCATTTGAAACCAACATACAAAATCACTGCTAGAGAAAACAGCAGAGATGTTGCCTTTATGAAATGTAACCCCAAGTCTCCACAATATGAACAGTGACAAACAAAAAATTCACCTCCAACTATAGCATATAAATGACCAAAAAAGCAACTTTAAATAACTCCATTTTATTATATGCATTTTATGTCAACCATACACAGCTGTTCATTTATTTTATAAAATTCAAGCTGCTGCTTCCTGTATTATAGAAGTATCTTTATCTGTAACAGCATTTGTGGAGTCCCCAGAGCCTTGCTGTTTGACGTACTGCTGAAGGAGGGCGGAAAGGTGAGCTGGATGGTGACGCAGCATTGAGACAGTCCGTGAAGTCATCATGGTTAGACCACCAACTATCTCACCCTGGATAGTGGTCATAGACGGGAGTTTGGAGTAACTGAGAATGCCTTGATATGAAAGCAATGTGTTCTCTATACAAGCGCCTGAAAGAAAATGGTACAGAAAGCCTGTGAGACAATACCAATCATTTTTAGAAGATATTTAAAGGAATAGTTTACCCAAAAAATGAAATAAAATGCTTGATCAGTGCTTATTTTTCTCCTGATTCAGACGAGACAACTTTTTCACTTTTCACTTGAGAAAGCAATATTATGGGGACTATTTTAGCAGGAAGCAATGATTTGAAGTCAAAAACATCCTAAACATGCAACTTTTTACTTCACAAGACATTCATTGACTAGAGGTCATGTGGATTACTGTTGTTTTTATCAGCTGTTTGAATTCTCATTCTGACTACTCTCTTTTACTGCAGAGGATCCATTTTGGGTGAACTATTCCTTTAAGACTGCAAGTTCATGCCTAGGAAACACTCACCTAACAGCACCATCTGAGGACTGTGTTTTAACGCTTGGAGCATCTCTTTAACTTTTGGCTCTTTACTAACAAATATCACAGTCTGGCCAACAAACAGAGGCAACATGTTACTGTAAATGCTGTTGCTGAGAAAGGACCTTGTCACCTGGAAAGAAACACAAATAAAATGTCACAAAGCAGTAGCGCACATCTCAAAAGTGGTAAGCAGCACTATAATTTGCCATTACCTGGTTTGGGAAGAACTTGACACTGATATTGTGTCTCTTCAGTTTGTGTTTCAGCACCATGAGGTCCTCTGCATTGATTGCATTGTTTTGGACCACAGCAATCATCTTACATTCCTTAAACAAGTTTTCTAAGTCATTCCTCAACAAAACTGCCAGTGCACTTTCCTAAAAGGAAAGAGAGTAGATATATATATACATATATCACTTAAACACTTAAAATGACACACTTAAAGCCTTGTAAGATAGTGTTCAGTAGGTAGGCTATAGCAATGATTGACCTCCTCAGTCTTTCTGACTCGTGGAGCCAAAGCAGCAGGAGGAGCTGCAGGTGTGGGGGGAATGTACTCTGTGACAGCCATCAGCTTCTGCTTGAGAAAGTGCATTGGCTTTCTGTGACGAGTAACAGCTTTGGAGCCGTGACGAACAATCTGGCTAAATGGCAGCCATCCTGTAGGTTATAATATGTAAATATTGGTAAGAATAACATTAAGGCTAGAATATAAACATTACTATTCAAATAACATTATGAATGTAAAGGATGCCACAAGTGATTCACTAATATCATGAGACCGTCACATCTGGTGTTTTAATCATGAAAAGAAATACAAGGGCTTGCCGAAAATCCAAAATACATACATAACAAATGCTAAATATGAAGAGATGTACCCAATAACATTAATTACCTCAAATATGAATTGCATATTCTCTGACAGATGATGATTATGCTGTACAGTACCACAAATAGCTTCATAGTGGCTTTCAGGTGTATGTAATTTTACGATGTAATTCATAATTTACATGGTTGTAAATGACAGGTATTGTCTTTTTATATATGTTATTTACTTATAATATTTTTTGCAATAATATCAAATCATAATCTTACCCGATTTCGGGAAAAGTCTGCCACACAAGGTCGCTGCCATCTTGATCCGGATTTGACGTGGGACTGTTTTGTTCTTCTTCTTCTTCTTCTTCTTCTTCTTCTTCTTCTTCTTCTTCTTCTTCTTCTTCTTGTTCAATAGCCGTTCACTCCTTAGGAGTATTACCGCCACCTACTGTATATCTTGCGCACATGGGTGATGAATCTGTACTGAAGCAAGTACACCCAAAAAAAAAAATTTTTTTTGTAATGCCCCACCCACCCCAGAGGATCAGAGCCCACGCTTCATGTTCGACCGTTTTGTTGAATCGTACTTACAAAATAAAAGTCTTTATGGCTACAAAAATACAAATAAAATAAAATATAATTAAAAAATACCACAAAATTATATATTTTTTTTTTTAAGTTTTACGAAACAGAAATTGTTTTTTCTTATTATTATATTAAGGTAATTTAAAAATATAAATTAATTATAGAATATCAAATTAATGATTACTTGATTAACGTATTTATTTTTAATATTTTTTTCATTCCTAAATTAATTCCAAAAATTAGAGGTTAGTTACAAAACCGACTGCTTTTCATTTTACGTAAGAGCATGAACGTGATAACGCAGGTTTGGAGTTGCAGGCATGAGACGTCTAACTATTTGCGCTTCTGCACGTCCAGCAACATCGGCAATATTGTGAAGTTTATTGAACCCGTTACCTTGACAGTCCTCAGTACTTCGTTATTTACCTCGTTTTTCTGCAGGAATTGTACTGACAGCGGCACCGACATGGATCTGAGTAACATGAGAAAGAGCTATAAGAGCGATCAGGAGGTGGGACACGTATATTTTAGGTTTATTTCAGGTATATGTATGACCATGACCTGAGACCCTATTCAAAAGACATATTATACAGAGTATCATATCATGAATTTTACATCAAAAAGCTAGATATGCAGAGCCGCCATTTTCTGTATTATTCTATAAAACCTTGTCAGTGTGCGTTTAAATTATTAGCCTTTTTATGTATTATCTGCAGCTAAATTGCGTGCTTGCCAAATGCCTTTTCAAAAATGCATGCATTGTCAGTTGACCTTGACTTTCAATCACTTACTAATTAAGATTATATGAAAAGAGACAACTTTAAACACAATTATGAGACAGCCTTTGACCATCAAACATGCTTTCCATATCAGTTATGCATGGGTTAGTGTTATAGTAATAGCATATTTGGTAAAGAGCCCTTTAAAGATCCTATTGGCTGAACACAGTAACAACAACACAGTAAAGGATACTGTACTAGGTCAGTTATGGGGTATTTAAAATTACTATGCCATATATGTCACAATGGAAAGCCAAGTAATTTAAAAATAATATACAATAAATGTATTAATTTTCTTATTTATCATTTTCATACTATAGTGTTTTGAGGAGGATCAGCTTGCTTCTTTAGATCCAATTAAGGAATTCGGCAGCTGGTTTGATCAAGCCACTAAATGCCCTGAGGTGGGAGAAGCCAATGCAATGTGTCTTGCAACAGCCACCAAGTAAGAATGGATGTCGTGCGGTTCATCAATACTTGGAAATAAACAGAGCAACTTAAATATAATGCATATATTTTCCCCAAAATTTCCCCTTCTTGTTTTCTCAAAAGGGATGGTCACCCCTCTGCACGCATGGTTCTTCTAAAAGGCTACAGCGAGGAGGGATTTCGCTTCTTTACCAACTATGAGAGTCGGAAAGGTACAGAGCTGGTGAGTCTTTTAAAACCAAATTTTGTTTAGAAAATGTCCTTATGGGTTTACCTTCTCATCGTTTTCACGTCTTGTATTTTTAAAATGTATTTATTTATTTTACAATCAAATAGGACAGCAATCCCCAGGCCTGTCTTGTATTTTACTGGGAACCATTAAACAGACAGGTAAGCTTTTTATTTTTTTGGGGGATCTCAGAATCTTCTCCAGCTAATTCTTTGGATAATCTTTTCCATATTTCAGTTTAAATGACAAAAAATGTAACACATTTTGAATGTAGTTTTTGACCCCATTGCATTTTTTTGTTGTATCCTAACAGATTCGCATTGAAGGCACTGTAGAGAGAATCCCATATGAGATTTCACGTGATTATTTCCACTCAAGGCCCAAGGGCAGTCAAATCGGGGCTGTTGTTAGCAGGCAGAGCACAGTAATACCAAGCCGACAAGTGAGTAGCATTATCACCACCATCCAGGGTTATTATCATTAATTAAAACTATTTAAAAAAAAATTTTTGCTAATTGAAATAAAGCTGAAATAAAATATAAATATTAAATGAAAACCATAAACTAATTCAACAAATGATGTTGTCTTGGAACCCAACTGAAATATATTTAAGTACTAAAATTACTAACTAAATGTAAATAAAAAATAAAAATAAATTACATCTAAAAAAAACTTATACAATTGACAAAAGCACATAACAAAAATAACAAAAAATGAAACTATAGTTAAAATAAAAACTGAAAATATAAAAAAAAGAAAAGCTAATTCAAACTGCAAATAAAAATAATAAGAGTATATAAATAATGCAGTTAACACAGCCAAACTCAGCATTAACTCAGCATTCAGCCAAACACTCATAATGATAATTATACACGATTAATGTTAATTATTTTCCTGGTTTGGTGCAACACCTGATTTATTAATAATTTGTTGTGTGTCACCCTTAAAGTACCTGAGAGACAATAATGCAGAGCTTGAGGAAAAGTATAAGAACACTAATGTACCAATGCCAGATTACTGGTGAGTAATTTTTGTTTATTAATATCAAATCCCTGTCTGTGTTTGTATGTAGACAGTTATATTTTAGTTTCATTTATTTTTATGGATATATATTTTTTCGCAGGGGTGGATACATTGTAAAACCCCACCTGATTGAGTTCTGGCAGGGTCAGACCAATAGATTACATGACCGAATAGTCTTTTTGCGGCCAAAAGAGGGAGAGACTGAGCTGGGGGATATGCAGCATCAAGCTGAGGGAGGCTGGGTATACCAACGCTTATCCCCCTAATAGAGGACATGCTGTGAAATCAACATCACCGTCTGTGACATCAATACATCATCATTACTTGACAGCGACTGTCGCAAATAATGCCACCAGAGCATCAACTGACTAGTGAAGACTTATCATTCCATATTCGTCCTGCATTCGTATCGTCTTAACCAAAACCAGAAGGGAGATTTATGTTGATAACTGCATACATGATTTTATGAATATAAATCATGTTGCATTACAAAATGGTGCTTCGTTGCAGCATTTTTAAGCCTTCAAGACGGACCTCAACACATTCTTAATCTACTACTTGTAAGTGCAAAGTCTGTTGACTGCCTGATGTTTATTAATAATTAAAAAAGCACAGCTGTACTTGCAGCCGTAATTGTAGTTTCAGAAAACATAGACTTTGGACTTCTGTCACAACAAGAAACACCCAATATGTTGCTCTGTTTGATGTTTTGCACATCTATAAATGTGTTAATGATAAACAACTAAATAGTCTACAAGACAAATGTGAAATATGATTAGATTGTGTGTTAATAAATGTGCCAAATGTAATGTTGATCTAAAATAACTGTCTGAATTTGGCTGTCATTCTGTAATGGATGGGGACTTTTTCTTACAGTAAATATACAGTAATAAACCCGTTTAATTTTTGCAGCGATGCTCATTGTGCTTTTTTGCCAGCAGATGGCGGTGGCGTTCAAACAACTTTTTGTACTTCTCCACAATTGAACATCTCTGCAATGAAATAAAAATCTTTATTTTGCATATTCTAACAATAACATTTAAAGATCTCAGTAAACAATAGGCAAGTACAAATTAAACAAGACAAATTAAAGCTATAGTTGTGGAGAACCTATTTCTAACGTGCTGTGACTTTTGACTGTCCTTGCCCTAATTGAATAATTTTATGATAAATGATCTAATCAGAGATATGCACAACTGAGCGTCCACAACCATAAAAAACACATGATCAAGTGCTAATCGAAGGGCACATCAAATTGCAACCTAAACAACAGTCTGTTTCCCACAGGTTTGAGATTAGTTATTACACAATAATGTACATTTTTATGACCATTCGCCACAAAATTAACGGATTGTGTGATTTATAAATGAGAGTTGGATAAGGTTTCTGTGTCTTCCTTGTCAGGTTTTTCCCACAGTGATAATAAGACATTTTATGAGCATTACAATATGGTGTTTATGATTTACATCTTGGGGTTGCTTTTCAATTAAAGTATGGCCGGTGAAAAATAATAATTTTCTGTTCCAGTATCTTCGCTGCGTCTGTGGTAACTCCACTCAACATGCAGCCTTTCAAATAAGAAAGAGTAAAAATTAGTATGTATGTATAAACAGGCTGCAAACTGTGTGCTTCGTCTGGAAGTTATTTTTCCACATGGCTCTTGTCAGTCCGAGCAGGTTCGGGGAAAAGGCTCGGGGTTTCCGCCAGAGTCGCGCGAATCTTCTTCTTCTCTTTAAACCGCCCAGAATGGGAGACTTTTACATGACGGCCCTTAGTGGCAGATTTATCCACTATTTTTTCCAGTCTGGCGTCTAAATCGCTGTCTGCGTCGTCGTTGCCCAGGTCTTTTTTCGCATTGTTGGTGCTGAAGTCGGGTGGTATTTCATACAGGACCTTTGGCTCTGACTTCTTTTTCCTCAGGAAGGTGAGCTTCCACCAGGCAGGGTCGGCCATGACAGGTGCGAAGGGAAGATAGCAAAGTAGACCTGTAACACGAATGCAGATTTGTTAGGTAGATGAAAGATACTGAGTAATGTTTCAAAATACAGATTCCAACTCGTAATTTAACAGCGAGTCTGCAAGCTGCTTATTTCTCCAGTCCATAGCATAAGACTCGTGCATTTATCACCAACACCCAGATGGTTTTTGCCCTAGGATGTGCTTTTATGGTTACAAAAACATATTAGAACATTATCATAAAGGCTCATTTGCATAATTTAGCACATTGTAAGCAGCAACACTAGTTCTCTCTGAGGTAATATGTGTGTCTCCTCATCCAATAATTAGATTAGAATAACAAGAGGACACCTGACTCTGCTGCTCAGCTGTTTAATTAATGAACAGCACCACTGGATCCCCTGTCACTCCCTTGAGATCTGAGATGCACCAAAATAACATTGCGTGAAGACACTTGAACAGCTCCTTGATGGATAACTTAGTATTTCGTCCTACACTGATAGAGTATCATTTGTTGTGTAATATTGGACAGACTGTGTATAGCTATTGTACACATCACAAAGGATGTACAATGATTTACCTATGTGATAGCAACCAGTGTAAACACTGGAGACTGGTAACACCTGGTAATAGTAATGTGTATGGCTGGTATCACACTAGGGTGTGTCATCTGGTACCTTAACAGCATTGTCATAGTCATGGCTAAATGGAATGTATGAATGAACATGTGCTGGGTCGTCCAGCGAATGCAGCAGGTTTTATAGCATTGGTGTGTGATGAGATTTTAAGTATCAGACCTGAAGTGATCTTTAGAAGGCACTAGTAAACACACCCTTCACTTGGCCGTTGCCACCCAATATATTTCTGGTAGAATATTGTTCAGTCATAGAGGGTTCACGCATGAAACAAGGCAGTGTCTCCATGTGAATGTACTTTTTATGGCGAATTCCACTACAACATGACAAGCTCATTTCTGACTTCCAGGTGCAATTCATTTTTGGTAAAATAAAGAAATTGGATTTAGATTTAGAGATCAGGCCAAAAATATTAGATGAGTTTTAGCAATGAAAAGCATTTTGGTAGACTATCTATCTATCTATCTATCTGAATATTTATTTAATATACTGTATGTTTTGTAAGTGTAAATATTTATTTATTTCAAAACTTACATTTTAAAAGAATTGTGTTTAAAATAATCGTTTGTACTTTGTATCATTCTAGCATATATTGATTATTGGGGGATGTAAGTTTTATTCTCTGCAAAACTGCTTTGGAACAATATTTATGCCCTGCCGTATTCAGAGCAGTCATGGAGGGTGTCAAGTTTGCCTGCAAGTCTAGGCCTGGACATCATACTGCTGCTGTTTGTGTCCTGAATGCTATACTTCTCTCTCTTCTGGGCCTGTAACATAGCATATCAAGCTTCCCATGTAGCCTACAGCCTCTCAAGAGAGGCCTTCATATAGCATTTGTTCATAACGGGCTCTGTTAGGAGAATTCATGATTAAATTCCTCTCCAACTACTCATGTTTGTTCATTTCACTTTAAATTCATTTTTCATTGTTAAATGGTTAAGACCAGTGTTACTACTTTAGTATCACATCGATACTATTATAGTTTTTATTAAATGTTTTGAATTTGTTTTTATGTATTCAGTTTTCATGTAAATTTCGGTTAAATTTGAGTAATTTTGTTGTGCGTTTTTGTCATTTTTATCAGGACTGTTTTTAAAATGTCTATATAGTTTTTATCATTTCATCATTTTATTTTTTCTTTATATAATATATATATATATATATGTTTTTCCTATATTGTACGGTTTTCTAAGACTTAATATTTCATTTTATAATTTTTGCTAACTTTATTTTTTGTTTTATTTCATTTCATTTTATTTCTTTTATTTTTATTTTATCTAATTTTATTTTGTTATTTTTAAATAATGTTTTATGCATTTAATTTAAGTTTTAAACTAAATCAGTCAAATTAAGAATGTGAACTCTAATGTTCTTGTATATGCAAAAAAAGGGCATCTTGAAGAAATACAAGAACAAATGCATGTTCACAAACAATATTTTAACAAATTCACTTCAAAACACAAAAAGGAGCAAGTGATCAGTTCTCACCTGACAAGATGTGTTCACTTCTTTCAAAGGTGCTCTTGGTTCAGAAGAACAGGTGTCCAGAAGAAGTTAAACCATTGTCGCATTGACAGCCTTGCCCCCTTTGTTCACTTAGTAACTTCACTTTACCGCTCAAGTTCAGTCTGCTGAGAGCTGCTAATACCTTCTCACCTTTTTGCTTCCCCTTCTCTTAATTAATCTCCCTACTGAATGTCTGCTTTGAGTGCAGTGTCTCATGCTACAGGTGTTCTCTTTCCCCTTCCTCTCTCTTGGTCCCTCCCTTACTCCCTCTCTCTTTATCAGTCTTGTTTTATCTCCCTCTCCTGCTCAGACAGCAGCCTATTGCCTCACACAAACACACTGTTTCAGTCCAAGTTGAACATTAGGTCCAACCCAATGCAACATGAGTAAATGTTACAGCCATGTGATCGAAAGAGGGAGGGCAATCCGAGTGAACGACCTCATGGGAGCGTGAAGTTGGTTTAACATTTGCATGGTCAACCAAAAAGGTGCTCACCTTACCAAATCAAGATGGACTGCAGAGAAACTCTATCAGTAAATAAATTCAGCCTATGTTTCTATCTATCTATCTATCTATCTATCTATCTATCTATCTATCTATCTATCTATGAATGTGAACTCTAATGTTCTTGTATATGCAAAAAAAGGGCATCTTGAAGAAATACAAGAACAAATGCATGTTCACAAACAATATTTTAACAAATTCACTTCAAAACACAAAAAGGAGCAAGTGATCAGTTCTCACCTGACAAGATGTGTTCACTTCTTTCAAAGGTGCTCTTGGTTCAGAAGAACAGGTGTCCAGAAGAAGTTAAACCATTGTCGCATTGACAGCCTTGCCCCCTTTGTTCACTTAGTAACTTCACTTTACCGCTCAAGTTCAGTCTGCTGAGAGCTGCTAATACCTTCTCACCTTTTTGCTTCCCCTTCTCTTAATTAATCTCCCTACTGAATGTCTGCTTTGAGTGCAGTGTCTCATGCTACAGGTGTTCTCTTTCCCCTTCCTCTCTCTTGGTCCCTCCCTTACTCCCTCTCTCTTTATCAGTCTTGTTTTATCTCCCTCTCCTGCTCAGACAGCAGCCTATTGCCTCACACAAACACACTGTTTCAGTCCAAGTTGAACATTAGGTCCAACCCAATGCAACATGAGTAAATGTTACAGCCATGTGATCGAAAGAGGGAGGGCAATCCGAGTGAACGACCTCATGGGAGCGTGAAGTTGGTTTAACATTTGCATGGTCAACCAAAAAGGTGCTCACCTTACCAAATCAAGATGGACTGCAGAGAAACTCTATCAGTAAATAAATTCAGCCTATGTTTCTATCTATCTATCTATCTATCTATCTATCTATCTATCTATCTATCTATCTATCTATCTATCATCTAGCATCTATATCATCTATCTATCATCTAGCATCTATATCATCTATCTATCTATCATCTATCTATCTATCAATCATCTATCTATCAATCATCTATCTATCATCTATCTATCAATCATCTATCTATCAATCATTTATCTATCTATCATCTATCTATCTATCATCTATCTATCTATCAATCATCTAGCATCTATATCATCTATCTATCTATCAATCATCTATCTATCATCTATCATCTATCTATCTATCTATCTATCTATCTATCTGTCTGTCTGTCCGTCTGTCTAGACTCGAGCATACTACAAAGTGAAAGTAAAAATTAATAAAAGTTATTGTCTATGAAAATAAAAGGCAATTATATGAGATATTATATGGGTTATTATAATTAACTAAAACCATCAAAAAAAACTTGAAATAAAATAAATCGAAATAAAATATATAAAAAAAAACTTCTTTTTTTTCTATTTTAGCTAATTTCCTAAGTAATATTTCTCATTTTCATTTAGCTTAATTTTGACTAAAATGGAACTAAAATAACTAAAACTGAAATATAAAAATAATAAAACTATATAGACATATTAATAAACACACACACACATATACATAACCATAGTATTATATGTGATATAAAATATCTCACACAGCGTACTTCCACACACACAATACATTTTGTGAATTTTTACTTTGTATTTGCAAATACATGTCTACAGTTATACCTTTTGACAAAGAAAATATAATTGTTTGTATGTTTGCTCTGGTTTAGTTTCATACTGCAAATGCAAAAGTCAGTGGTTTGTATTCACACATGGTTTGCATTCTTGAATATGGTTTTCACATATAAAGGATTTTTTCGGATTGTAGGGGGTTATAACAACAGAAGGACGCTTTCCACCTGAGCTTGTTCACAATTTCACCTCTGATGTTTAATTTCGCAAGGCCACCAGACAGATGATGCCCACATTTGCATAATGTGGGGAAATCACAGACTGATACTGGATCCCCAGCTGAGATAGGAGCAGGTTTGAATGTCATTCAAAAAATATGAAAATAAAGCATTGCCTATATGGTTCCCTTTAACTGTTACAGCCATTGTGCTTCACAAGACTATAAAAGAACTTAACCGATTTAGGATTAAAATTCTGCTTTCTGCTTTCAGCAAGGTGCTGAAATTGTCTTTGGAGTGATTAAAAGTGCTCTGTTTGGAGTACAGTGCAAGTTTCTTTTCAAAGGCCTCTCCTGTGTATTAAGCGTAGTGTTGCTGGAGTTGCCCAAGATATCCAAACTTTAAGAAGCAGAACTACAATCCTATCTTTGATTTTAACATTGCATAATAGTGTCATACTGACCTTTATTTCAAACTTTCTGCTTTATTTCTTTGCTGATTTTAATCTGCTCTGTCAGAAAACAGAAGACGAAATAGATATTTCTGTCAACTGTACGACGGGAGGAGCCTCTTGTTAGAAACACCTGAGACACCTGCAGTCATATTTACAGCCAAAGTCCCTTTGGCAGACACTTAGATAAGGAGTGTTGTGATCCGGCAAACAGAAAATCTATAAAACCACCTTGTTCAAATAAAACTGAGAAAAGAGCAGGATATTTACCATAAATTTATGTCCACATAAAGTGTAAGTTGAAATTGCAATGCATATGGTGCAAGAAAATGTAAAATGACTATTTCTTGTTGTTATTGCCAGCCCTGCTTATAAGTACGAAACAATGTAATATGACACACTATTTCTTTAAAAGGAAATCGCGCCATCTAGTGGACATACTACTTCTGATGTTTGTCACTCAGTCAAAGGAAAATGAATAGGTTATTTGACATAGTAAAACCAAATATATTTATTTTTCTTTGTTTTTTAGTCATTTATTAAACGCTTTTATCCGAAGCGACTTACAAATGAGGACAACAGAAGCAATCAATTGTAGTATTAAAACAACTAAAAACAGATCCAAAACTAAAAGCTAAAACTTTATAAATACTACCTATACACATTTTAAAAAGAAAGAAATTAAATAAAAATGACAAATGCATACAACAAAATTTCAAAACTTAACATTTAAATGAAAAACAAAAAATAAAGCTAAAAACAATTCAAAATATTAAAGAACAAAAGGTATAAGAGTATAATGATTCTAACATAACACTAAGCCAAACACCAAAAAAACAACTACATATGTTTATGTACAACCACACACACACACACACACACACACACACACATATATATATATATATATATATATATACATACACATTTATAAATTTAATATATATATATTATTTCATTTCCATTTAGTTTGTTGAAGTATTAAAATAACTCAAATTCAATTAAACTAAAACTTAATAAAATACCTATACAGACATAATACATTTAGACATAATTGAACTAAAATTAAAATAAATAACAAATACAAATAATACAAATCAAACGACAGTAGTTTATCAGTAATCCTAAAAATAACACTGCCAAACTTACTAAACTTGCTAAAAAACAACAACTTACTGACACATAGTAAGAAATGGTAATAAAAACTGAAACAGAAGCGAAACAAGTAGAAGGAAAGAGGAGAAATAAAAAGCGATACGTTATAGATAGATATAGATATAGAAGATATGCGTTTACCTTTTGAAAAGTAAGCAAATTAATGTATCTTTTTCTTCCTTTTTATATATACGAAAAGTACCATAATAAGAAAAATAAATAGGCTACAGATGATCAAAAACCATTTAATTGTTTGAGATTTGCTGTTGCATTGAAGGAACTTTTCTGAAAAAAATAATAATGTGTTGAATTGACAGCTTTTTGAATGTGATATAAATAACTTTATATTACCAGATTCGTAATTATGGAAAACAGTGTGATAAAATGTAACGTATTAAGAGATAAAGAACACGTAATAATAAACAATTATTAATGATTAATATATAAACGTATATTACATGGACATACCTATAATTAATTATTAAATTATTAATAATCAACATTTTTGAACCATCTTAATTTTATGAAATAAAATTAGTTCAGTATCCACAACATCTGAAAGCGTGAATTAATTACTATAAATTACATTTATAGATTTAAAAAAAAAAATTTCCAAAGGACCATGACACAAAAAAAGACTGGTGCACCAAAAAAAAATTACATTTTAAAATAGAAAAGCTCTTTTAAAGTGTTATAATATTTTACATTTTGCTGTATTTTTCATCAGAGCTAATTATTTTAATGTGAGATCTGCAATTTGGTAAAAGGATAGAATTACAGACAAGCAACCATTATCGTATTTATAACACATTTATATCCATTCTGTAAATACACATTATAATCAGCGTGCATAATGCGCAACTCCAGAGTCTGCAGATTTCATCTGGGTCTGGGTATGGTGCTGAATAATTTTACTTTTGCAGGTCCTGATGGTGTTGCCAGAGGTGAGGATGCGCTTTCTCTTCTTGAAAACTCACAGACACGTGGCCATTTCATCAATGAGCTGAAGGAGGTACAACAGCTCATTGTTACAAGTATTAGACAGAATCTTTAGTCTTCACCCAAACCAAACTTTTTTTCTGTGTTTCTGTGGGTCAGTTGGAAATGTTCCTGTGCCAGCGGCTCAGTGAGATGCGTGAAGAAGGTGACTTGGTGACCATGAGTCAGTTCCAGCTTGCTCCCTCAAAGATTCAGGCCCAGACTCCCGAGCGTGTGCAGGCCATGCTGGCAGACGTGCGTGACCTGCTAAACGGGCTCACTTCAGTACGAATGCAGCACCTCTTCATGATCCAGGCGTCACCACGGTAACTACACACTCAAACATTTCATATGAAAAAATTGCATTTTAAATCTGTCATATCTGCAATCTGGCGTATCTGAAAGGAATTGTTCACCCAAAAATGAAAATTTGCTGAAAATTTACTCCCCTTCCAGCCATCCAAGATGTAGATGAGTTTCTTCATTTGAAAAGATTTTGAGAAATGTAGCATTACGTCACTTGCTCACCAATCGATCATCTGCAGTGAATGGGTGCCATCAGAATGAGTCCAAACAGCTGTTAAAAACATCACAGTAATCCATCATACTACTCCAGTCCATCAATAAACATCTTGTGCAGCGAAAAGCTGTATTTGTAAGAAAGAAATCCATCGAAATGTTCGGATACTTCGGATACTTCACCCAGAAATGAAAATTCTGTTATTAATTACTCACCCTCATGTCGTTCCAAACACGTCAGGCCTTCATTCATCTTCGGAACACAAATTAAGATGAAATCCAAATTATGAAATTCGAGAGCTTTCTGACCCTGCATAGACAGCAACATAACTGAAATGTTCCCAGGCCCAGAAACGTAGTAAGGACATCGGTAAAACAGTCCATGTGACATTAGTGGTTCAACCGTAATTTTATGAAGCTGCGAGAATACTTTTTGTGCGCAAAGAAAACAAAAATAATGACTTAATTCAACAATTCTTCTCCTCAAAATCACATCTTCCGCCATTATCAAGAATGTTCATCAATGAGCTGAAGGAGGTACAACAGCTCATTGTTACAAGTATTAGACAGAATCTTTAGTCTTCACCCAAACCAAACTCTTTTTCTGTGTTTCTGTGGGTCAGTTGGAAATGTTCCTGTGCCAGCGGCTCAGTGAGATGCGTGAAGAAGGTGACTTGGTGACCATGAGTCAGTTCCAGCTTGCTCCCTCAATGATTCAGGCCCAGACTCCCGAGCGTGTGCAGGCCATGCTGGCAGACGTGCGTGACCTGCTAAACGGGCTCACTTCAGTACGAATGCAGCACCTCTTCATGATCCAGGCGTCACCACGGTAACTACACACTCAAACATTTCATATGAAAAAAATTGCATTTTAAATCTGTCATATCTGCAATCTGGCGTATCTGAAAGGAATTGTTCACCCAAAAATGAAAATTTGCTGAAAATTTACTCCCCTTCCAGCCATCCAAGATGTGGATGAGTTTCTTCATTTGAAAAGATTTTGAGAAATGTAACATTACGTCACTTGCTCACCAATCGATCATCTGCAGTGAATGGGTGCCGTCAGAATGAGTCCAAACAGCTGTTAAAAACATCACAGTAATCCATCATACTACTCCAGTCCATCAATAAACATCTTGTGCAGCGAAAAGCTGTATTTGTAAGAAAGAAATCCATCGAAACGTTTTTAAAAGGGATACTTCACCCAGAAATGAAAATTCTGTTATTAATTACTCACCCTCATGTCGTTCCAAACACGTCAGGCCTTCATTCATCTTCGGAACACAAATTAAGATGAAATCCAAATTATGAAATTCGAGAGCTTTCTGACTCTGCATAGACAGCAACATAACTGAAATGTTCCCAGGCCCAGAAACGTAGTAAGGACATCGGTAAAACAGTCCATGTGACATTAGTGGTTCAACCGTAATTTTATGAAGCTGCGAGAATACTTTTTGTGCGCAAAGAAAACAAAAATAATGACTTAATTCAACAATTCTTCTCCTCAAAATCACATCTTCCGCCATTATCAAGAATAACTCTGCACATAAACAATGCAGGCGTCTTGGTACTCTCCATAATGGCACCCTAGGGTGTCGCGAAGGAGAAGAATTGTTGAATAAGTTATTTTGGTTTTCTTTGCGCACAAAAAGTACTCTCGTAGCTTCATAAAATTGCGGTTCACTTAATGATGTCACACTGACTATTTTACCAAAGTCCTTACTGCATTTCTGGGTCTGGGAACATTTCAGTTGCATTGCTGTCTATGCAGGGTCAGAAATTTGTGTTCCGATATTGATCAAACAGTATTATGGCTTATGGATTAATTGATGGACTGGAGTTGTGTGGATTATTGTGATGTTTTTATCAGCT